TGGAATTAATTTCGTGTTTTCTTTCATGGGAGCCTTAGGCCAGCCCACACTATATGTAAGCCACGGCTGAACAAGAATAAACACCTTGGATTTATATGAAAAACGTGCTTAGTGAGAATTCTCTCATAGCTTCTTGGTTGAACCAAGAATTATCAAGTTCTTATCAAAGTTCCTACTTGGTGGCGAACAACCGGCTTATCAAGTAATCATACTTGTGGCGCCTTCATCACCTCATCCTACATTCATCTTCTTTTATCTTACAAATATCTCACATAAAAAAACCACTAAAAACAGCCCCTTAATCATCTAGCCAGAAACTGCCCATGACAACTAAAGCCTCGACCAGAATTTCTACTTCCCTCGGTCAGAAAGCCTTGTTCCCACGGTCAGACCAAAGCCAGCCACGGTCAGGCCTGACTTATCCCACGCACCAGCCCAAAATTCACACCCTCGGCCAAACACAATCCCCTTGACCCCAATCTTCCATATATCATCACACTCACATATTATAACCAGCCTAACCCCAAAACACATAAAAAGCCCCAAGTCAAACACCAAAAACCATATTCCAAAAGTCTCTTCCAAAAATATCACCAAAAAGTATCATCCAAACAAAACTATCGAAAAGTAATACCAACCCCCGCAAGGAGGTTGCTATCAATTAACAATCCATTTAATCGATTATCGACGATAGTTCATAAGAAAGATAAGGCATTGTTGAACTGTCACTGTTCACTTTTCTCTCGTAAATCTGTGTTTCTGGACCTAAAATTAGTCTTCTCTGGTGCTCCTAAGTGTATCTTTTGTCTTAACTCTATTATAACTGCTACTGATAAACTGCTACTGCTATTTGGTTAATTGCTAAACTTGTGTTATGCTACAATTGTGCTGAATGTTCTAAATTATTCTATATGTGTTGTATGACACCATGCTTCAATTGATGCTTAGAACATCACTCATAGAGAACTCTCCATGTTCTATGTCACTGTGAATAATCGACTAACTGTTGTCCTTAATCGATTATCACACCTAAACTTTGTGCATCTGTTTCTCTATCTATATCCCTTAATCGATTAATCACTTTCTTAATCGATTAACGAGACTATTACTTTTGTTATCTTTCCTACATTTTGGCAAATTAGTCCGGTTAATGGCCTTTTTTGATCATGCCAAAGGGGGGAGAAAGGTTGTTTGTTGTTTTGATGCATATTGCAGGATAATCTAATGCTTCCGCAACTCAAAAAGAAAGTCAGTTTATTGAAAGCAAAAGAGCAATGTTTATTTCATTGTTGAGTAAATTGAATATGATGAATTGAATGGATTGATTACAAAAAAAAAACTCTTAATTTATTATATAAAAAATTATAAGATATTTAACTTTACCTAATATCTAATATACTAAGTAATTTATTTTACACATATTTTAGTCATGAAAATTAAATTTACAGATTATTATACAAAATGTATTTGGATTTAACCATTATGAGTTAATACAATATTAACCAAAATAACAAAATATATTTCAAAGCTCTCCTCAAGCTAGAGAGTGAAAGTGAATGTCTATAGAGTCTTCAACTTTAAGTTCTACATAATATTTTTCATCATTGAGGGAATGCAACACAAAATTTATTATCACTCAGTTGAGATATTTAATGAAGAATTTCAAAAGATAGAAGATTATACAAAATATATCACATGAAACTAGTAAGGCTGTGCTAAGAGAATTCATAGAATAGATAGAAGAATTTTTAGAAGAAAATGAATTGTAATTGAAATCAACATGTTGTTCATCAAGACCAACACAATAGGAAGAAGATCAAAGAATGAGAGAAATCTTGAGTATGATGAAATATGAACAATACTTATTCAAGAATAACAAGAAAAGAATATGATAAATTATGAGCAATATTTGTATCAAGAATAATAAAAAAAGAATATAATAAAATATGAACACTCATGATTATAAATAATTGAGAAAAATAAAGAATATAAATATTATAGAAGAGAATGATAAAAAGAGAGACTTACATATTTGCAATGTTTACTCCTTTTATGAACTATGCTAGTTTTTAAACAATCATGTAAATGCCAGTTTTACATTATTAATTAAACTACAATGTACCTAATTAATTAGTAAGAGATCTACTTAAAACTATTGCTGCTTTTTGCCACATTATGAGTAAGGATGGTCACGAGTTAAATGGGTATGGATAGTGATTACCCGTATCCATATCCGTAATATTTGTGGATATCCGTGCAGGTAATAGGTATTTATAGATACCTAATCATATTTTTAAATTAAATATATATTTATATATTTTTAATAATCAATATATATAAAACAATTATTATATGAATAATAAATTTTATGTAAATGTTAAATATACCATTATATTTAATCACTGAAATTCATAATAAAATAGATAATATATAGTTATAAAATAATAAAAAGTATAATATGTATGAAATGTTTAATTAAAGAATAAATTATATATGTACCGATACCTATGCGGTGGTATTATAATACTCGTTCTCCACCCATAAGTTATTTTTGTGTGTACTCGTTACCGATATTTTAATAGATACTTATAGGGCATGTTCTTTTGTCATCCCTAATTATGAGTAAGGACACTAGAATATGTCTG